GGAAGGCACCTGCGAAGTAAGCATCTCAGCGGACTTTCGAAGCTAAGGGGGATGGAATGTGAGGATTGAGCCCTCAAGTAGGGGCCTTGCCCTGATGTACATGTTCTGGGCTAAGGCCCCAGCAAGCCTCGTGCCCGCCCTAAGTGAAGGCGGGCCAGCAAATCAACAAGAGCCCTTTGTGCCAACATTTCACGAAGTGGGGTCCATACAGTTGCAGCACGCCAGTTGGTTGGAGTGCACCGAGTCTCGGATTCCAGCAAATGCTGAAATGCCCAGGGCCTCTGAGTTAGTTAGGCCCTGGGCACTCAAATGTGAGGCCGGCAATGCATGCTGGGTATAGAGGCCGAAAATGCCAAAGGGAAATCGGCCCACCGTCTGAATCTGGCCGCAGGCCTTGATGAAGGAGGCGCCCCCGGGGCCCAACTGTATTCGGGCTGAGTTCAGCCTCTGGGTCCCGGTCACAGGCTGAAGGGAGGCCGCCCACACGCTGCACTGGCATGTAGGCAAGCAGGGCGAGTGGGCAGGGATCTTGGCCAATGCGGGCAATCCCGGCACGCTGCGCTAATGCGAGCTGCTGCTGCTGCTGCGCTGCGCTAAGAAAAGTGCAAGGCAGGCCAGCGCTAGGCGGTAGGGCGCTGCCTGTGCACTGGGCGCTTGGCGGCCATTGCGGGGCTGCAGAAGAGGGCGCAGGGGAGGTTAGGGCGAAGGTGGTACTTCGGAGGTGAAGGGCGCTGTGTGGGTAACAAGGGAGAGTGTGGGGAAGAGGACACGTACCAGGAGGAGGTGGAGGTCGGCATTGGTGTTGACATCATCACTCGCTGGTAGTCAAGTTGTCTAGTTGCTTTTCATTGCTGTAGTTGTAGGATAGGCTGTAGAGTAGATAGGGCGCCTGGCGYCATTAACAAGAGAGAGCTACATTTGGGTTATGCTGTTGGTGTTTCCCTGTTGGGCATGGACATTGACTCACGATTCTTCTGTATCATTCTCAATTGGATGGTTGCTCGGTTCCATGTGCTATCTACTTTGGCTTTGACTACTTGGACTTGGTGTGATTTTGCATTCTGGATTTCAGTGCTTCGTCCATATTCATGTTCCTTGCAATACTAACTAATAGCAAAAAAAAAAAACAAGAAGGGGAAAAAAAAAAAAAAAAAGGAAGGAAAAAAAAAAAATCATAAAACTTCAAGGCAAAGGACCTGAAAATAGGGGGTCCCCGTTAACCATTAAGTTAGTGCGCTTCTACTGACTCCTAATTTCCTGTGCCTTTCCCTCTTTGGAAGCACCGCCCCAGATGTTGGGGCCTTCTCTCCCTCGACCCTAAACCCTGATCTATTGCCCTGGAAACTCTCTGGCCCATAAACAGAGCACTGACCTTGTTGGTTTATGAGGCAAGAGCATTTCGATTCGGGGGTGGGCTGGTAGCAGAAGCAGCAGGCCACTTTCAAAAAGGCTCTTTATGGTTAACAACCCTGCCTAGCTGATCAAAGCTGGCTCTTTTTCCCCCAAAAAAAAAAAAAAAAAGGTTTGGGCAATAAGCCAAGCAATGGCTTCTATATGGTTAACAACTCACAACAGAATGTGGAAGGAATCAGAGAAGTAGCTAAACAGATATGCGAGGAACACAAATTACGCCTAAGGTTGGGGTGCTAAGTCCGAGAACTGAAACCGCCAGTACACGGCCCCAGCTTTGTAGAAAATCGCGAGTTGCCAACTCCCAAATTTTTTCGCGGCTCAGGGCTACCAGGCCACAATGGCTGGCGGCGCCAGCCCAAAAAAAAAAAAATTGCGCTGCTGGCGGTTCATAAAAGCTTGGTGCACAGCCTGACAGCTCCAGGCGTGGGTCTGCTGGTGGTTTAAGTAGGGCTGCGAGATTCAAGAATCTACTGGTGGTGTAAGTAAGGCTGCAAGAATCGAGAAAGGAAGCTGCCATCTTCACCTGAAAAGAACACCCAGTCCTTATAGCTGCATCTAGAATGAAAGTTGCCTGAGATACAGCTGTAATGACCGGGCGTTCTGTTTTGGTGAAGACGGTACTACGAGAAAGGGAGAGAGAAGCGTTACATGCACACGTTGAGAATCACCCCTGCAACCCCTATGTATGCGTCGAGAATCACCCCTGCACCTCCCATGGAGGTGATGTAACACTGGACACCCCCGAACAGATGGTACTGCAGAGATTTAGATACCGCCTCTGGATCCAGGGCCGGAGGGATAGTTCCCATTTCTGGGCAAAGATGGACAGTCTGTGCTAAGAGAGTCTGGCCAAGATAGTCTGTGCTAAGATAATCCGTACCAAAATAGTCTGTGCTATGACGATCAATGAGACTGGGGATGTTTAGGAGTGAACATCCATACCGCCTCTGGATCCAGGGCTGGGGCGATAGTTCCCATTTCTGGGCCAAGCAAGATAGTCTGGGACCAAAATAGTCTGTGCTACGATGATCCCGGAAGATTGGAGATCTTTAGCAGTGAACATCACCGAACTGTCCGCATTTTCGCTAGCAGGGACTTATTCTGAGTTTCTGGGTTGAGGATACCCAGACCGCCTCGTTTCTGTTTTTCTGCGACTTTTCACCACGCGACGTAGCCAATGCACAAGCAAAAGGAACTTTGCCAATGGCGGAATAGTTCATAGGTTGCCAATGCACAAGCGAAAGGACCTGGGCCGTGGCGGAATAGTACATTAGTACTACCTACGTATCACTGTTCAGAAACAGATTGTGAGTTAAGTCCTGAACAATACAAAAAACTAGTGTTACAGACGACCCTCGAGAAGAGAATAAAAAGGGTATGTCCGGACGCTGCATCAACAATGTCTTTTTGAACCACGACTACCTTTTGCAGGCAACGTCGAGAATCGTGTGGAGGCTGGGCCTACTGGACCCGAATGGCTGGGTGATACATGCTCAGACGAGCAATGTATATGGAGCCAAGGATCCGCAAAGTGATGAAAAGGACTCGTATGGACAATGCAGTGTCAGCAAAGCATCAACCAGCGATGTACCTCTAGAAAATAGCACAAAGTAGCGCAACGGAAGACTCAAAGATATGACCTGACCGATCAGATACTGACACGACCTCCCATCATACATCACACATGTGAGAAGAAGAGGAGGGACCGCATACATGGAAGAAAGGTCCCTCCTCGTACACACACATGGGGAAGATACCACGGATGACAGATGGGGGAGAGGCAGGACGAAGATGGAGGTGAGGAAGAAGACCAAGATCGCGATAGCGAAGTCCAGAAATAGCCTCCCTGCCGAATGTCCAATCAATGTCTGCCACAAAATGTCGAATCAGATCCTCTGGGCCAATGCCCGATGTAACCTCTGCCTGTAACCTCTCTCTCTCTCTCTCTCTCTCTCTGAAAGAAGAAGAAGAAGAAGAAGAAGAAGAAGAAGAAGAAGGAGGAGGGAGAAGAGATGGAGGGCGAGACGAAGAAGAAGAAAGTGTCGTCCTCCTCGCTGTCTCACCTGCAGGTAACTGCCGCCATGTACTAACTGCCGTCGTGGTCCTGTGCAGGTCACCGGCCTGGAGCACGGCTATGGCGCCCAGGTAAGTACCGCTGACGCAGGTATGGCCTCCACCCCTCTGCCTACACCTCTACCTCTACCCCAGCATAGCGCGGTAGCGCTGTGGCGCTGGTTGAGCAGCGTGTCGCCCAAAGAAGTGGGCTACTCCAACTCTGCCTGTCTGTCCTGGCCTGGCCCAGCTATAAGTACTGCTGGGCCTCGTCGGTCTGCCTCCGTGTGCCTCTGGTCCTAGGCCAAAAACGTGGCCTACTGGGTCTGGGTCCCGACCGGACGTCCAGACCCTGCCTGCTGATGCAGCAGGGATGTCCGTAACTGGACGAGCACGAACCTGGCCTCAAAGGGCCCTGCCTCCTGGTGTACCCAGCCCAAGGTGCAGCCTTGGGGACTGCAAGTCCGAAACGATGCCTGAACAGACAAAAATAAGACAGCAAACAAATAAATAAATAACTGAATGCTGTCGTAAATCAAATCCTGCCCCTAGGGGACGCCGTGGGCCTCCAGGGCGCGCGGCCTGGGGGCCCCTTAGCAACCGTCGGGCCCCTGAAATGGGGCCCCTGTGCAGGCGCAGCATGTAACACTGGGGGTGCCAGCCAAAAGAAAAAGAAAGTGCCGCGCTGGTGCATCGGCAAAGCTTGCCGCGCAGTTCTTTTCCACCTCGGCAAAAAAAGCCTAGGAGGTAGTGGTAGTTTAATAATCTTTAACTTTTGTTGATGGCTGCTCGGGTGGATGGGATGGATCGTCGCTCTGAATCATGTGAAATGGCTGGATAGGTATCTGATACATTCTTATGGAGGCAGTGCACAGTCTATCCTGGGCCTGTGTGATTTTGGCCTGTATTGTTTCTAACTTTCTATGGTATGGTTTTATCAAGAAGAGAAAAAAAAGGAAGGAAAAGGCTCCTTGAGCTCGTATGAGTATCTCATTGTATGTTTTAAATACATCATGGGGTCTGTGCAATTTCTTTCTGATAACTCTGTTTTCTTGTGTTTTTTTCACAGGTGGCCTGATACAGAAGCTGCGTGAGAACAATTTTGAATATACTGTTGGGGAGGTGACCGTTAGATTGGCGCAATCCTATGGCTTTTGCTGGGGCGTGGAGAGGGCAGTTCAGATGGCGTACGAAGCGCGAAAGCATTTCCCGGACCAGAGGATCTGGCTCACGAATGAGATCATCCACAATCCAACGGTCAACGAGGTTATTCCCCTCTTCATCAGCTCCTCCTCCTCCTCCTCCTCCTCCTCCTCGTTCTTCTTTCTTTCTTCTTCTTCTTCTTCTTCTTCTTCTTCTTCTTCGCCTTCTTCGTCTCTGCCTCCTCCTCCCCCGCTGCCCTCCTCTTGTTGTTGTTGTTGTTGTTGTTGTTGTTGTTGTTGTTGTTGTTGTTGTTGTTGTTGTTGTTGTTCTAGGGGACAGTCCTCAACTTTTTTTTTTTTTGGATAAAACAGGGCCTTATGGTCCTGGCTCCATGTCCATTCTGGGGAGCATCATTCAGGTTCCTTTTCCACCGGAAGTCATCAGAGTAAATCAAGTAACACACACAAGCTTCCTTCCGCTTGGCCGAAGGACCCCCGGGCTGACTGTCAGCTTTCCACCTTCCGCCTCATCAGAGTAAATCAAGTAACACACGCAAGCTTCCTTCCGCTTGGCCGAAGGACCCCCGGGCAGCATTGATTGCTCCATTTTCATGGAGGATTGACTGTCAGCTTTCCACCTTCCGCCTGGCCGAAAGACCCCCGAGCAGCATTGATTGCTCCATTTTCATGGAGGATTGACTGTCAGCTTGCCACTATTGTCTAAGTCCTCTCGGCTGGGATATACACGAGCTGACAGCTCTACTTGAAGCTCTAGACTTCTGAGAGGGAGTGGAGACCCTGTACCCACTGCTGTTTGGGATTCAGCGTGGTCTCTCCTTATGTCCTCATGCTCATGTTTAACCATGCACGTACTGCAACTTCATTTTCCTGCTGTCTCTCTGTTTTTCGTATTAAACGCATACGGACGTAGAGCTCTCTTGTATCTGGGTGGCCTCCCGAGCTGAAGTTAAGTCTGAGTTGTGCTAGTTCTTCCACCTTAAGTTGAGGCCTTCCAGCCGTGCTACTTTCCCCCCCACCAACCATACCCGTTCGAACTTTGCCAGCGCCACTTGTTTCTGTATCTGGATTGCTTTGCACCCAGATTTTGCCCTTCTCCCAGTGGCTCAGAATCTCAGCTTCAATTATACCTTTGGTTGCCCCCCACACCTTCTCGCGTGGGTTTCTAGTGTCCTGTAGAGTTTTGCTGAATCGCTCTTTCTCTTTCCATATGGCCCATAGCGTGACCTTGCGTATCATTCCAAACCAGGTCTTTTCAGGTTCACCGAATTTGGCCGGTAGGTTAGTACAGAGGAGCAATTGGCAAGGGTGTTCAGGGAGCGGGGAGAAGAAGAGGGAGTCCCACAGGTCCGATGCCCTTGCCCACTATTCTGTGGCTTCTTTGCAATTGATTAGGCAGTGTATAATGTCTTCACTTTCTTGATCAGAGCATATTCTGCAGATGTCAGTGCTGTTTGGATTATTTTTCCATCATCTGACGTGCAGCCGTTGATTTACCGGGAGGGCTACATACTACGTATGCTATGAGCCATTGCAGGCTCACCCTTAACATTATTCAATTTATTCTATTGGAGACATGATTTGAACTTTTGATCTGTTGTTCGCTAACAGTTGCATGCGCGTACTGTTCAGCCGCAAGGCAGGTACTATTCTGATCCTTTTCTTCCCTGCTTGCAAAACGTTGTTTACAAATGTGCATCCAACGTAGAATAGAACCGAGAACACCCAAGGATGATCTGGACCTGCCGCTTGTGGCGGCGAATCATGGCGACTTGTCAAATCGCATTGCCCTGGAGCCGGCGATGTTCCATTCAGTTTTTTGCCCTATCAGCTTTGGACGGTTCAAATGGAACCGAAAACGCCCAGCACCCAGCGCGTGAGGCTGAATTTTACGCACATGCTATGGTGTTTGTACTGCAGTTGATAAACAGATCATGAGTTCAAATCGTGAAAGAATCAGACGGATATGATGATGTGAGGGGCTAGCTAGCCCCGTAAGAAATGAAAACAACAAAAAGAATTGAGAAAGAATGATGTGACTTATCTTTTGCCCCATCTCCTGCAGTAGCTGCATGGGTTTTGAATATGATGAGTGTGAGAATGACACACAGAGACTTGCTGGTGGAAAGTAGAGAGAGAGAGAGAGAGAGAGAGAGAGACCAACACACAGAACTGAAAAATGGTAAAAAGCCCAGATTTGGGATTATCGTGGTGAGTGCGGTACTGCCCCAGCAGTGCAAAAGAGGAAGACTTCATAGTTTGGTGGGGGGTGGCCCCTCCGAGACCCTGCCTGGCCCGAGTGCCTGGCTCGGCAATCCAGGTAACCCGTTTGCTGCTATGAGAATTTGAAGCCTGTGGAAAACGATGGCTGTCTCTTGCTATAGGCCCAGACCTGATTGTAGAAAATGAAGGCGATCTCTTGTCCTAGGCCTGATTTGCATGAAATTCTGCCACGTCAAACAAAACTGGTGATATGCGGTTATGATGTGTGGATGTCAATGCGAAATGCCAACTGAATGTTTGCTCTTTGTTGCGGTTCATCTTCAACAGAGGCTGGACGAAATGAAAGTGAAGGTTTTACCTGTTGTGGATAATGTGAAGAGCTTTGAACTTGTTGGGCAAGGGGACGTTGTCATGTTGCCGGCCTTCGGTGCTGCAGTTCAAGAAATGCAACTTTTAGCTGACAAGAAAGTGCAGATTGTGGATACAACCTGTCCTTGGGTGTCAAAGGTATTCCCCTCCTCCCCTTCCCCCTCCCCTTCCCCCTCCCCTCCCTCTTCTCCTCCTCGTGCTCCCCTGCCCATCTTCACACCATTGTTTACAACCTTCTCTTCCCCTGTCTTCTCGTCCGCCTACTGCTTCCATGCCATTTGCAGACCATTCTTTCCAACCTCCTCTTCCCCTGTCTTCTCCTCCTCCTCCTCCTGGTTCACAAACTCCCATCCTCACACCCGTTTTTCTCACCTCCTCCCCCTCCTCCTTCACCTCCTCCCATCCCTACATTCCTTCTTTCTCACCTCCTCCTCCCCAATTCCCTCCTCGTCCTCCCTTCCATATTCACACCTCCTTTCCCACCTCTATCTCCCTTCCCCCTCATCCTCCACCATCACCACTGTCACTATGATCACCACCATCACCGCCATCACCACCATCACCACCATCACCATCAGAATCTGCATTGCCACCCACCTCATCTCGCATTAGTGTAGGCTCTTGGAACTGTCTTCTTCTCCTTTACACCCCTGTGTTCATGACGGCCTCAAGTGCAGCATCTGAAAAACTGAAAAAAGAAGGAGATGCAATCATTATGGGTCATCCATCTGCTAAGGCAGTTTGAATGTTTCGAAAAGAACAACAAGCATTTATGTGATAGTATTCCTGTTGAAGCCTTCAATGCCAGCTTTCTTCATTCACATGAAGCATACCTTGTGAACTCTCCGGCCGAAGCCCCATTCACAAGTATTTATTCTATTCAATTCAATCACTTAGGTTTTTTTTTTTTCTTAATGTATTTGATCAACTTTGATGTGTTTTTCTTCTTTCATTGTAATACAATCAAATTTCTATGATTTGTAACCTAGTCTACCAGCTCGCCTGAGCGGGCACGCCGGTCAACCGGGGGGGTTCGGGGGTATAATGTTACTATAAACAGGTTTTAAAAGGGTTCAGAAAAAATGGGGTATCTAAAAGGAAGCTGCACTGCGGAGAAATTCAGACCACGCCTACGATGAACTCTCACGTGACCAATATGCACACAACAAAAAGGCAATTAGCAGAACTAACAAAGAAGTGCTCACATGAGCAAAAGAATGTACACTGTTGAAGTCTCTCGAGATGAAAACCCCTTTAATGCCTCCCCCACGAGCAACTACAACAACAAGAGTAGTTCGCTGCCCTTGCTGGTCTCCGTACCAGCTTAAGTGACCATCTACTCTATCATCTACTCTCTCCTGTACAGCACCATGTTATGCCATAGAGTACCATGCTGCTTTCACTCCTGCTGACAAACAATTGAGAAGTCTGTCACGTTGGGGTTACTCCTTGTCATCCACCAGGTGAGTATCCATTAACTCTTCCTTTTCCATGCTCTTCCTCTTTCTCAAGCATCTCCCCTTGTAGCATCACCATCATCTGTGCACCGAACACCAATGAGGCCAACCTTCTTCCCCCAACGCCCAACCAGCTATGGTGCTGGCCTGCTTCCCCAGCGCCCAACCTGCCATGGCGCTGGCCTTGGTCTTCTCTCACAGCCCAACCATTGCTGGTGCCGTCTGCCGTCTGAAGCCACTCCCTCCTCCCACTAGCGCTGTTCCACGAGGGGCGAGTGGTCTGTTCATCAAACTCCCTCTGACCAAGATAGCTTTCACTTCACCCTTCCTTCCTTAAGTACTTTGGTGGGAGGCCTTCTCTTCAGCCGGTAGGCACTGGCTTACAGAGACTTGCGGTTTTGGCCTTGCCCTACCGGTCCTGAGACAGCCTGGTTGGGCCCAGTCCCTGGCCTGACAGGGTGTTACCTCCTTGGGCCTGAGCTCAGCGCCTACCAGTCCTTTGGCATCCATGGGCCGGACCGAGGGTCCTCGCATTCACCCCCCTAGATGCGAAGTCCTCCATGAATCCATTCATCCCTCTTGCTGCTTGCCTTTCAATTTTGCATCAGCTCCTCTTGCAACCCACCAAGCTTCTCTCATATTAGTACAACGTTTGAGAAACTCCTTCAGATATTTGAGTATCCGTTGTTCTTGTCAAATGATCTCGAACTCTGTTTACTTCAAACACCCAGACCTGATCTTGGTTCAGGTAGCTATGATAAGGAAACTGATCATTAGAAGAACAATCTCAAGGCATCAGCACATATGAGAAAGAGGAATCAAGAGGGGCACTGTTAACAGGGTGTTGTGGCCTTATCAAGTGGCCTCTTTTTGGGGAAGCATGCGAACATACGCTGTTTGTTATACTTCCAGATAAACGGATTAAACTTTTTTCATATGCCACACAGAGGGATTGAAGAGGCGACCATAGGGGCCGCCAGGCGGCGGCCCTTCGGCCTTAGTCCCCTACTATCAAGTCCTCTCACCGTGTGAGGGCCGCCCATCACACAGCTCTCCAACTCAAGTTGCCTTATTATTATTATTATATAATAAATTAATAATAACCATCGCTTGTTCAAGAAACAATAGCACTTTGTGCCTAGTGTACTAGTTTTCAAAACATATGTAAATTGATTTGCACAGAAATTAACGTGATACGCCAAAAATGCACCTATAGCACTAAACAAAATGGGTATTAGTTTCATCATTCTTTGTGTGGCAAATTCTGACGAAAACATAGTTTCGTTTTAAGGGGCTAGTTGTCTGTTTATATGGTTTTAAACTTTAAATCAATTGTCTGAGTATCCTACCAGCCCCGGGCCTCGCTCAGGACTATTCGGACATTTAAGCCAATCGATTGGCCATAAACAATCAGCCCTAGTCATTGAGTAACTTGATTTGTCTGCAAAACTCCTTGAGCTCCGGATGGAGAGGAACGAGACGAACGGGACTCACTGCAGGTGCACAGAGAGGCAGAGAGGCAGGACTGATTTTGTATATGGCCTCATGCCTGCACTTGCATGGCATTCTGTGATTTCTTGGTGGTAGATGAAGGACAGACCCTCTGTTTTGGATTACTCAGCGGCAGCCAGACTCCTTGTTCTCTTCTAAAAGTTCAGTTCAAAGTAAATGTTGTGGCTGCAAAGTGAACCATTTAAAATGTTCTTGATCTAGAAGATTGCCTAGCTGCGAAGCAAGAGAATGATGGGCGCTGTGCAGGGGGGAAGTGTAAAGCATTCATGTATCCACCTATCTTGCATCCAAAGCTTTCATAATATCCGACCCTTTGCGATGTCTGGCATCAATCACTACTATGGTCCCTCTGTGCCCCCAGTGTTTGCACTTTTGGGCGGTCCCGCATTCCAACCAATTGCGGACTTGTGATCCTTAGGCGTCCCCAGATCTTGGATCTGTTGCCTGAGGTCTCTTACCTATTTGGCGGGGTTTCACTGGCTCAACGACCAGTTTTCCCCGTAACTTCCAGGCAGCATTGTCCATCACCGGCCCGTGACCCCCGCCGGCGTCCAGGGGTGGCTACCCCCGACCCTGGGTCCAGAGCCCCCCCAACCCCCTCCCGAAAAACAAAACAAAAAATTAAAAAATTAAAAAAAGAAAAGAAAAAAAGTGGGGGCTGCATAGCGACAAGGGGAACCCCCTGATTTTTTTCCCAATCGACCCCCCTCCCCCACCTCCCTCCCGGGACACAACCCTTCCAACCCCACCCTCGGTGCGGGGGTGGGGATGTGGGGTGCGGGGACAGGGGTGACTCCCTGGGGGCGGGGGCCTGGTGCTGGGGTTGGTGATGGGGTGGAATGATGAGGTGGTGGGTGGGGCACTGGGGCTGGGCAGGGATCGGGGGTGCCGGGGTCAACGGGGGTTGGTGGCGCGAGGTGGGGAAGGACGTGAGCGAGGGGGGGAAGGTGGATGGAGGGAAAGTGGGGGAGGGGAGCGGCGCCATGGCGGAATGGAGGGGAGAGGAGGGGAGGGAAGCTAGGGGTTGGAGGAGACAGGGAGGGAGCGGGGATGCAGTTTTTCTTGTTTTTCTGGTTTTTCTTAATCAATCAATCAATCAATCAATCAATAGTAAAGCAATTACTTGACCAATCAAGATGGATTTATTGGTTGGTTGATCGATTGAAAAAGAAGTGGGGCAGTGGCAGCGCGGTGGTGAGTAGTGCGATGGGGAGGATGGTTGGATTTATTGG